ACATGGTAGGAGCAAGAATTGGTGAAGCTCTTTAACTGGCAGTGATGGACTACGCCGGAGTGTCCTGTTCCATCCCTTTCTGGTCTGGGACAGGGTGGGCTGGGGGCGGGGGTGGGGCAGATGATAAAAGGGAAGCAACATTTAGAGCCTTTAATCTTCTTACCCCAGTTCTGAGCAGGTGTAGTTACTGCCTCTTTCTTCCAACTCCCATTCCCCCTGGTTCCTTGGTCTCTCACTTGGGATGGATGAGGTTGGGATGCAGATAACACATGTCCGCCCTTGGGACAGAAGGTGGACAAATTGGCAAAAGTTACAGGAAGGTAGATTTGTTTCAGAATAAGAATGATGTAAAACTCTCTATCACAATAATAATTTGACAGCAGCAGGAAATTTGTCCTGTGATGTAATAAGTTTCCCATTGCAGAGAGGGGTCAACAGCAGCTGCGGCCCACCTTTACTGAGATGCTGCAGAGAGAGCCTTCTGGGTGGACTTGAATTGCTACTGTTTAACTCTGGTTGGGGGGAAGAGGAAGCCATTCCAGTTTTTTCTTCTTATCAAACTTATACCTCTCCTATATCATCCTGTCCTCTCTTTTCTATCCCATTTCACCTTCTGAATTTTTTTTTTGAATACATAGATTCATACTATCATCTCACAAATGTAATAATATGTAAAATAGCCATATTTATTTATTTATTTTAAAATTTATTTTTATATTCCCCAAACAATTGCAACCCCTTTATTTTGACCCCAATCCCTCCCCCCCGCCCCTCATAAAGTGTCTCTGGTTCATAGTTGTTTGTTGATTATGATTTTCACTTTCTTATAGATATTCATTTTCTTGGTCCCTTATTTAAGTTTTCTAGATTCCTGCTATGAGTGAGACCATCCAATATTTTTCTCTTTTCTTTCTGGCTTATTTCACTGAGCATGAATAGGCCACAATGTGTCTGTCAGAGCTTTCATGATCAGGGTCTACCTGCTAAACTTGGGCAATATTGGCAATAAGAAATTTGTCTGCAGTCTGCTGACCATACAGAAGGACCAAAATGCTCATTCTGATGCATTTTTCCAGGAGCCATTTCTCCCCCAGCAAGTATATGAATTTGCGTGCATGTCAGTGTGTGTTCATCACGCCTGTGCTTATGCAGGAGTGTGTGTTGTAACTGGAATTGCAGCTCAAAAGTACCCACATTAGTGGGTATGTGAGTGGAGGGGTTGCTGTGGTCTTGGTTACCAGGGAGGACTAGTCCCCACTGTTGTCTCCTGTCTCCCTTCTCCCCTCCTCCACAACCCCTGGCCCCAGACTCGCCCCTCCAGGTTAATTTCCTTGGCTGCAGCTGTGACTCTCTCCTCCCTATCCCCCTTGCTCCCCGCCTTCCTTTCGTTCTTCCTCCATCACACACACACACACACACACACACACACACACACACTCTCTCTCTCTCTCTCTCTCTCTCTCTCTCTCTCTCTCTCTTGCTTGAGTTATGTGCCTCCTGTTCTAATGAGATAAACAACATAACTCTCATGGGGCTCTGCTTGTCCCTCTATAAGTGGAACTCCAGGGCTGAATGTGTTTGGTCCTATAAAGGCACCCTGGTGCCTGTCAGCCTAGGGAGGAGGGCAAGGAAGGGGGGTAGGTGCCCCAAGAGAGTTCTTGAGGCCATTTGCTTGCTGAGACAAGGTGGAGTCAAAGCAGACATTAAAGGGAGGCCTGTTTCTATCCTCGTGGCTGAAGGAGCAAAGAACAGCATGGGCATGAAGGTGGGGGTGTGCGGGGGGGCCTGTCATGCCACAGGGGTATAACGTTCAGACTCATCTAAGCCAGCTAACTCATGATAATTAATAACTGACATTTGTACAAGGTTCATGGTTATTAAGGTTTCTTCTTAAATATAAACTAATCCCCAGGACAGTCCCTGTAAGGTGGGTATTATTAACACCTTTATCTTAGAGGTTAGGACTCAGGCTCAGAAAGGTGTCGGCATATTTCTAAGGTGACAATACACGAAGAGGATTCATGTACTTTGCCTCTGCATTGTAGAACTTCTCTAACCCATCAGAGAAAGTTAAGGAATGAAATAAAACCAGTCCCTGCTTCTGGACATTCAGATTACTTGCTAAAATTGACTTGTGGGAAGGTTGGCCCACAGATACAAGCTGAGTGGCCAGAGGCTGCCTTGGTGCTACTGAACAGCAAGCACAGTGGCCATCATCTTGGGGAGGGTGGAGGACCTACCTGGCGAGGAGTTGATGGTTTTGAGCTCTTGCCATTTAGACCTCTTGAGAGTGCTGGTCTGACCCAGGTCCTACTCACTCACCTATTTTTGGTCAGGGTGGAAATACCTTGAAGCAGTTGATGGCACAAGGAATAGCTTAAGATACAGAGTCTACCCTGCTGGGGTGGGTGGGGTGTGGTCACTTCTGGACCACCTTCCTCTTGGGTGGTTTGGATGTGGGTGGATGAACCTCTGGGAACAGCCAGGGCAGTGGGCCTTCACTGTCTGCATTTCTAAGTCTGGTTCAGCTGTGGTTGAATTTATTTGAGAAGTGTTTCTTGCTGTGCTTGCCAGGCATTGTGTTAAGCCTTAGGGATTCTAGAGATGGACCTGGTTCCTGCCATCCTGGATCTTGTAAAATTAATAGGGAAGACAGTCCAGTAGGCAGGCAATTAATGACAATACCTTGAGGGGGGATACAGGGAACCTTGGGAACCTACAGGGACAGCCATTAAAACTAGTCTTGTGCAGCAGAGAGAACATCTAGGCAGTAACTAGGTGATGCTTAGACATCCAAGGCTCTTGGTCAGACATTGGACCAATATGTAAGGTTCTTAAAAAAGTAGTTGCCACCCCCCATTCTGTCTCTCTCTCTCTCTCTCTCTCTCACACACACACACACACACACGCACACACACACCTCATTTAGATTGCATAGGCCTGGCACATTGGTGTTATGTTCTCTAGGTGATTTTTGGTTTCAGCCTGGTTTAGGACTCACTAGCCCAAGATGAGTGAGGATTAGTGGGTCTAGATCTGGGATGTAGAGTAGTGGGTCAGTCAACCCTTGTATTTCACCTTCTCTGGAATCCTGGAGAACACCAGGCCCCGGGGTGGCACAGACTTCTGGAAGGTGTCCAAACTCACTGTACCCATCTGGAAATTATAGGGTCAAGATGACATGGTCCTGGAATGAACTACACCAGAAACATTAAACTGTTCCTAGTGATGCCGTCCCTCAGAGAGAAGTCAAATTTGGTTTTCTATAAATCAGTCACAAGTCTGGTCCTCTGAGTACAGGGAGCTCAGAGCTTCAGGATCTTCCTATTATGCAGAAACTTGTAAAGTTATCAACAAATTCAAGTATTAGGTTGACTCTTGGACATAACAAGCGCTTTGCTCAGGACGCTGGAGATTTTTCTGGAGTCTCTAGCTCCATTGTCCTGAATGATTTCTAAGATTCAAAGGGGGTGGAGCAGTCCAATTTGTTCAGTCTTGAAACCTGTGGAAGCAGCTGTGTGATTAATAGTGAAACATAGCACAGAAAGAGAATTTGGAAATTTTAATTCATTTAAAGCTGGGATTGTTGTCTCTTCTTTGGAACCAAACCAATACATTGATAAAGAAACCTAGTGAAAATCACACAGCAAAATGAATGGACATAGTGCAATGAAACTTTTGTTGCTTTTCTCTATAAATGGTAAAAGTGAAGCCAGTTTTCCTATGAACTTTTGAAGGCCCCCAAATGGAAGATAGCAGATAGGACGAGGGTCCTGATGTTTCCTATGGTCCTAGTCTAGAAAGTGACCATCTTACATGAGGCTGCCTGCACCTAACAGTTGTCACAAGCCACATTTATGTATATGTAAATGGACTTGTGACTTGATCCAAATGAAACTGGAACACATTCATTCATTTCTTCATTTATGCTACTCATCTATTCAGTCAGCAAGTGCTTAGTGTGATTTTTCTATGTGTCAGACTCACATTTGGTTCTGGGGATTCTGATGAGAACAAGACAAAGTTCCTGTCCTCACCAGATCTTCTACTCTAGTGAGTTGGGTTGGTTGGCTTGTTGGTTTATTTTGGGGTACACCAGACAGTCTTTTTAGTTTGCTGATCATCTAACCAGTCCTCAGCTCTCTTCCTCTCCCCTTGGCCTCTACCCCTGCTCTTTCCTTTGTGAATAGGCTGTGTGGTCTGGTATGGGAAGGCCACCTTCCCCCAAGGTCTCTGGCTGCCATTCTTTGTGTGTTATCTGAGGTTTCTCATAGGGTGCTTGGCATAACAGGTGATGCTAGTGTGGAACCTCAGTGCCAAAGGCCAAATCTAAACAGAGAGGCTTGCTGGGAACAGAGTGGTACATAAGCCCAGGCCCTAGAGTTGGGCAGGGATATCCAGGCCTGCTCTCTGTCCAGATTATGGAGCCTGGCCCATAGGCTTCCATTCTGCTGGAGGTTGCTCAGGGCTCTCTTTGGCTTCAGTGATCAACCAGCTGCTAACGGGGTGGAGGCATCCAATAAATAGGAGATTTGGCTCCTTGATCATATTTCTTTGAAGTGTTTTCCAATCCAGGCTATATAGGTAGGCAGATATGTCATGCTGTTCTACCTTGAAGGGAACCTGCTTAACCTGGTCCTGGACAGATGGGTAGTTGATGGGCAGTAGCTGGAGATCCTCTGCCTGGGAGAAAAGTGGTGAGCTTGAATCTGGAAAGGTCCCTCTGATTGCTCCAGATCTGGACAGCAGAAATCTTGGTGATGGTGATGGCTTGGGTTTACTGAGAAAATCCTGATGGAGCAGACAGAACAAGGGTCCTGGGGTTAGCTGGCCTAGATTCTGCCTCCCCTCTCCCACCAAATAGCTGTGACTTTGACAGGTCATTTCACCTCTCTTGACTTTAGTTTCCTTTGACTACAAATGATGGGGGTTAGACAGAGTGGTTTCCAAGGGCCCTTCTAGCATGGGATCTTTAACCTTTACACTGTCTCTGTCTACAGGCCTTGCCCCTGGCCAGCTGTACACATACCCTGCGCGCTGCTGGCGTAAGAAGAGAAGATTGCACCCACCTGAGGATCCAAAGCTGCGGCTGTTGGAGATAAAACCTGGTCAGTCCCTCTGGAGTTGGCTGGGACCCTGATGGGAGAGGTGGGAGGGCTGGACAGGCCTAGGACAAGGTTGTTCTGCTCCTTTGTCTGTAGAACTGAGCTTTCCAGGAGGAGGAATGTGCCCACCTCGTGCTCAGAAGTGTGCCTGCGTCCCTGCGTCCATCTGAGCTTCTCTCCTCTGGGTGCCTGTGCCTTCCCCTTCCTTTCCTCTCCCTCTTGTCACCCCAGAGAAGTAAAGTAAGCAGCTGCAAGGTGGGAGCAGGCTACCAGGATGAATTTCTTTCCTAACAGAGTGGAAGGCACTGGGGCTTTATTGATTACACCTTCCTCACATAAAGAAGTCTTGTCCCAACTTGTGTGTTTCTAAGGACCGTACACCATCTAAGGACAGTACTTGGTCTACCCTCTGCCACACTCCCTGAGCATGAACTTTGGGTGCATCTTATACTGAAAGGGTCGGTTGCTAAAAATAGAACCCATCTTGGATTTCAAAATGGGAGAGTTTGTATTCAAATGTTGCTTCTGTGTGATGCTGATGGCTTTCTGGCCTCACTGAGGATTGGCTGCTTCTTGACTTCTGATCTGTTGTTACACTGCTAGGTAGTGACCCTGAGTCCTTAACTTTAAAGGAACCTCTGCTTTGGGGGGTGTCAGGGCTGGGATGTGACTCAGGGTGGTGGGAACAGAGCTGCCAAATAATTGCGGGCCGGCCATGCTTCTTTCTACTGGCACCAAAGCTTTCCACGCTGACCCCGAGACTGTAGTTTCTCTGTTTAGTTCTTTGGAATATTTTTGTTCCCAGTTTCATGGTTCACGTGTGCTTTGCCTATTCACTTTAACCCAGATTTTACTTGTGTTTAAGATTTATTTGTTGGGATGGAGGGGGCTAGACTTTTTGGGGTGCTCCATTCAAGTTTTCAAATGGTTTTGCATAATTTACAGGTCCTTGCAAACACTCCTGGGCGACAACAGGTTGTTCCAAGTCTCTTGAGATGCAGGCTGTAGGAAAGCCAAGCCTCCCAGCATGGTGCAGCCCCATTGAAATAGAATGCAAGCCACCTGTGTTGTTTAGTGTTTTCTAGTAGCCATATTAGAAAAAGGAAAAAAGTGCAGGTAAAATTCATTTTAATAATAGATTGCTTAATCTAACATATCACAAATATTATCATTTAGCATGTAATCAATATAAAAATCATGAATGAAATATTTGACTTTGTTTTTTTATTATGTTTGAATCCAGTGTGTATTTTATGGTTTAAGCTTATCTCATGGTAGACTAGCCACATTTCAAGTGCTCAGTTGCTATATGTGGCTCGTGGTGTCCTTATTGGTCATTGTGGTTCTAGAATACACACCAAGTGTGGTTTTGTCCAGTAGTGCAGGCAGGGAAGTTGGTAGAGATCCAGAATTTTGGGCTTCACCCCAAGCCTGCTGAATCAGAATTTGCATTTTTATCAAAGCTCCAGGACTGCATTCCTGCATGCATGTTGATGTTGGAGAAATGTGGCTGTCAAACACTTAATAGGTGACTGGACCACCAGTGAGCATGTGCAAGACCCCATCTACATTTCTCTACTAAACATAAGTAAGTGTTGACATGAGAGAACGTGGGACCTCCCTCCTTCCTTGCTCCAAACCCATTGGCCCTGGCCTCTTGGAAGTGGCCTGGATGAGTGAAAGGATACCCCTGGTAAGATCCCCATTGGGCCCAATTAATTCTGCTCCATTGAGAGCTTTGCAGGAGCTGCTGTTGCTCGAGGTAGGTACGTGCCAGGTGGGCTGTGTGGACTTTGAGGGAGGGGATTGTTCGGGTGTCACAGGTTGGATGTGCCTCACTGAGTATGTGGACCTTCTGTGTGTATTTCTTCACCTGTAAAACAGGCACAGTGGTGTTGGGATGCCTAGCTCACCTTGTAGAGGCATCGCAAGGAGCACAGGAGCCTGTGTGATAGTAGTTGTTCTTAACCCTTTTAATGAAAACATTTTATTTGTTTGACTTTGTGTAGGTAATACAGTGCATGTTTAGACTCTAAGAGATAAAAAGGATATATTGTGTAGTGAAAAATAAAACCTAGTCTCCAAAAAGGCAATTAGTGGCACCTGTTTTTTTGAGATTCTTCAAGAGATAGTCTTTGTACACACCGGGAATTACATCTGTATGACCTTCCTCTTCTCTTTTTCTACAGCACAGTCACCTTGCATTTTGCCCTTTCCATTTAAAAATGTGCCTCAGGCATTGGACATATCAACATGCAGAGTTTCCTCATTTCTTTTCAAATGACATAATATTAGACTAATTTTATTGTCTTTTGTGGAATCAAAGACATTTAGCACTGTAACTGTAAAACCCCTCAGATATCATTAACTCCAATTCCTCATTTTATTGAGGTCCAGACAGGTTAGGAGATTTGCTTAAAATCACACAGCGATTCTCATATGAACTATGGAGAACTCAGGTTGATTTCCTCTGATGCATTTTCTCTTTTCTCATGCTGCTGTTAAGTTTACTCAATGAAATTTTAATAAAGCTTTTTCCCTTAAAACTTTATTTTATGATTATAGAAAATGAATGTTAATTATTAAAATATACCCAGAAGGTCATTGGAATTCCTTTAGTCACAAATGTCAGACATGCAAATCAGACTGGCCTACGTTTAAAAAAAAGGGATGGGGGGAGGAATTGGGTGTATAATTTGGTTCATGTAACAGTAAATCCCATAGTTCACCTGGCTTCAGGCATAGCTGCACCCAGGACTTTGTCATTTCTTGCTATATTTTCTCCTCATGGGGAGGTCTGGTGGCCACGAGCACCCCCAGAGGCAGCACTTACCACACCCAGCAGAAGGGCAGTCATGTTCAATAGCTGTGGCAGCCAAGTCCAGGGGAGGATTGATTAGCTGACTGGGTTTATGTCCATCCCACCAATCACTGCCACAGGGGCTGGGCACTGTGATGGAATCATCATCGTTATCATCATAGCTAGTGTCTGAATAGTACACTGTAGTTTACGAAGTCCTTTTTAAGCATGTTCATTTATCTCACTTCCGTGGAGAGAGAAAGAAGGGGTGAAAGTGTTGTAAACTCATTTCAGAGGTTGGGGACACTGGGCTGTGGACAAGCCAGGAAAAGTTTACTGTGCTGCTCACGTATCTGAGAACTGACAGTCTCATGTTGACGGGACAGAGGCAGAAGCTACTTTGCAAGCTTCTGGTCCTCCAGTCTGCAGATATTTACTTTGGGCACACAGGCCTCCCAGTGACTGCATGTGGAACAGTTGGGGTCACAGCTGGCTTTGGAGATGCCCCATCCTTGATGTGGGGGGTAGGTGGAGGGAGGAAAAACTTTGGGTGGATGTTTGCTGAGGCCAGGTGCCCGCCAGCACATGGTGTCTGTACCTGTGAGCACTTGGAGGGTTTCCTGGCTTCTGACCTTGTGCCTGGGCCAGAGGCGGAGCTGGCTGCTCTGGATCTCAAGTTGGTCAAGCCCAGTCCCTGAGACAGCCTGAGCCCTGTGGGATCCAGACTCTCTTTAAAAGAAGAGTGTGAGCCTGGGTAAGGATGGGTCCTCAGAGGCATAGCCATATCCCAAGGAGGCAAAAGACCCCCACTAAGTTGGGCTCCCCAAGATGGATGGCACCCAGGAGATGGGAACAATAAACAGCCAATATGACTTTTGAAATGGCAACTCTTCTTCTCAGTGACATGTTTCCTTCATGCGAGTCACCAGACCTGCTGAAAACAGAATCTGAAACAAAAGGCCCCAAACTTTGAACCAAATGCTTGTCATCTCCAGATCCTGTTCTGGGTCTGTACTGCTGGGCTGGACTGAGGTCTCAGAAAGTCCTTCCATACCAGCTGGAGGTTGTGAAGAGAGTTGCTGGGGAGTCTGAGTCAGGGACAAGGAACCTGTGTGGTGCTTGAAAACAGTCAGGTGATGAAGGCGAAGCAGCATGACCAAAGAAACACACCATTCTCTTCCTGGAGGCAATGCAAGTTGGCACTTGGATTTTTCACACAGCCCAGATGTTAGAAAAGGGTCTTTATCTGGGGCCTCCACTACTCCATATGACCCCCTTGTGCAAAAGTAGAAGGCGTCCCCTCTGGGTGGATGATATAGAATGCTGTCCCTTCTGGTGGGTTAGAGGAGCACAAGCTGGACCTCACCCCTTTCCTGGCCCTTTGGGGTATACCTGTGCAGCCATGACCTGCCCACCTTTTGGTGGCTCTGCCTCATCATTTTTACATGCTCTGTTTCCAGGTGAGAGGACATTTCCCCTCTCTTGGGATATGTTCTCTCTAGGCCCAGGGTTGGTTTGGAGAATATTTTAAAATGACTATCACTTGGTTTTATTCTGCTTGATTTGTGTTCAAAGAGAACTAGTTTTTTTGGTTGATACTCTGGAGTGTGACTTGAGGTGGTCCCTGGCCCCAGGGGTGCATGGTCTGTGGGGTGATTGGGTGGAGGCTGACCTTCCCCAGGAGAGAGGAGGAGCTGAAAAAGGTGGAGAGTAGCTAGGGATAAGCTCTCCTTTACACACTACAGTGGGGTAGGGTGGAACCTTCTTGGAGGTCAGTGCATAGCGCCTATCAGTATTTAACAAGCACATGCCCTTTGATCTAGAGATTCTACTACCAGGAATTTACCTATAAATATATATATATAATATATATATATATTCACATTATGTAAGTTTGTCCATTATGGCATTGCTTTAACAACAGGGTGGAAACTGCCAGAAGGTCCATTGATAAGAGAGTAGTTAAATATATAGTACATATGTAAAATGGAATAATATTTTGTCTTTTCAAGGAATGAATAGAAAAGACTGGAAAGATATCTAAGATATATTAAGTCAGAAAAAATGCAAATTGCATAACATTATACATAATCCTCTGAGCAAACCTTGCTGAAAATTCGATAATCAATTTGTCTATCCTGGGCTGAATTTCTTTAAATTTATGGAAGCCAGAAAACTGAGTTTATGTTGAAAGAAAACCAAT